CAGAGTAGTGCTTGTTGGGGATCCAGGAGATCTGGGGCTGTCGGGGGAAGGGCAGGGCATGAGCTGGCAGAGAAGGGCCTACGCATGCCAGAACACACTCAGAGGGACACAGTGGGGAGAAGGGGTGAACTCCAAAAAGAATGAGGGATTTGAGCTTCAGTAGGTGTGACGGGACTGGGGACTCTCCTCCCCCACCGCACAATGCCTGGGGAGGAAGGAGAGGGGTGGGCCCAGCTGGCAGGAGTGCAGAGGGGCCGGGGCTCCTGCCTTGAGCTCCTCAGCATCGTAAAAGCTGACACGGACAGCGGGCACCATCCACGTGTGGAAGAGCGTCTCCAGGATGTTTCTGGCCACAGCATCCGTCACCAAGTGCAGGTGCAGGGGATTTTTCCTTTTGGGTGGACAGAGAGGAAGCCTGAGAGGCCCCAGCAGGAGCAACACAGGACAGCCCCGACCCAGGGCGCTGAGAGGTGCAACCACTATCTGCAAAGTGCTTCTCCATACCCAGCTCGGGATATTCTTACAACCACTCTTCGGGAGAGGAAGGGGACACTGTCCTTATGTCACCGACGAGGAAGCTAGAGCTGAGACACAGTGACTTGCCCAAGACTTTGTCCCTTCCCCACTTCTGACCCACCTCTTCTGACATCTCCTGTACCTGTAGAAGAGCATGGACTTCACCAATGTGATGACCTCTCGGCTGGAGTTATGTCCCGCACACACGATGGCCACATGCAAGAGCTGGGGAAGGGGCACCAGGGTTGGCAGCAGTCTCCCCGTCACCCACTAGACGGCTGAGCTGGCCTGGCCTGGGCAGTGTGGCTCCGCCTGGCAGCAGAGCCAGGGAGGAGTTCGGGAAGCAGCAGCAGGATCCAACCCTCCATTTCACACACGGGGAAACTGAGGCCAGGAGCAGAGGAGGTGTGCACCCGGGGCGCCCCCAGCTGGCTGGCCAGTGGCAGGGCAGACACCAGGTGTTGTGATTCCCACAGGTGTCCAGGTGGCCGGGCTGGGGGCGCCGCGGCCCGGGATTCCCACCGCCAGGGGCCGGCGTGCCTACCTCGCACTTGGGTGGCAGCTGCGGGCCGCAGTCGGAGCGGTTGTGGCCGCCCTGTTCCGCCAGCGGGTCTCCGTCGAGGGCAGCGGCTCCCCGCAGCCGCCCGTCTGAGAGGATACGTGGCGTGAGCGGGCAGGGGAAGCATCCCGGACTCCCTGGCTCACCGCCCGCTCGCGGCCCTCACAGCCCGGGTCCTCACCGAACAGGAAGAATCCGATCAGCAGCAGCAGCAGTAGCAGCAGCAGCGCGGCGGCCCCCAGCGCCCGGGGGCGCCTTCGGGGCAGCATGGCCGCGGGCCGGGGCGCTCAGGGCGGCGCGCGACCCCCGCCTGCGGGCTCCATCGCGGGCTCTGCGGAGGAGGAAGAGGGAAGAAGGCTCAGCCCTGGGCGGCGGGACCCGACGGCTGCCCGCTCGTCCCTCCCGCGCTGCGTTGCCACCCTCACCTGCTCCAGCTGCTCCCGGGCCCGGGCCCTGCGCTCCCAGCAGCCGGCCCGGGAGAGGGACAGGGGAGGCGCGGGCCGGCCCCGCCCCCAACCTGGGTTCAGGTTTCACCTCCGCTCTGCTGAGCTTGAAGAAGGGGGAGACCCCCCCGGGGGGCTGGCACCGCCCACTGCCCCAGCCTCCGACGGCGCCCCCAGCCTGCAAGGAGCCCCGGGGACCCCCTTTCTGGGCTGAGTTTCCCACCCAGACGCGGGGAAGGTTGGAGGGCGCGGGAGCAGCCACCCAGGAAGGCCCAGTCCCCGCTACCTGACCTGAGCCCATCCCCCTGCTCGCTGCTGTGGGGCCCAGTCTCCGCCCCCTAACCTCCCCGGGGGAGGGGCCAGTGACCCCGGACCCGGGATCAAAGGGACAGCCGGAGCACAACCGGAGTGTGGGGGAGGCGACCGGAATGCTGGGCCGCGGGGGTCGGGGACACCTGCTCTGGGGACTGGAGGCGGGGCCGTCCGAGACCCGCCCGCGAGCCAGCGAATACCTGGAGCCCTCGCCTTCCTCCCCCTACCCACAGTCCAGGTGGCTCGGCCCTGCCCGGCGGCAGCCACGGCGCGGCCGGGACAAAGCGCCCTTGTGAAGGCCGCCTCCCTCCCGGTAGCTGGCGAGGGGCCTCTGACGCGGGCGGCCAGGGCCGGGATCCCCATCCCGTCTAGACGGCTGTGAGTGTGCCGGGCCCTGGCCTGGAGCTCTTCCTGCCTCCTTCTATGCGGCGCGCCCCATCGCAGGCCCTGGAGCGGGTGGTGGCCACTCTGGACTGCGCACAGATGAGCGTGCCAGGCCCTGCGCTAAGGGTTTAACACCCTCGCCTCAGTTCATCCTCACAGCAGTCCTGTGATGCGGCTTCATCTCCCCCAGAGAGTTGACGGGACCTGTTAGACAGGAACGCCCGCCCTCCGCCCACGCCCCCCAGCCCCACACCCTTTCCCTGGCCCTGGCCCTCCCTTGCTCTTTGTCCCGAAGGGGCTCCCGCGCCGCCCAGGACTTGCCCTTGGTGTTCCTTCTGCCCGAACGCAGCTCCTCACAGGGCTGGCCGGCACTCATGGAAAGTTGGAGTCGGTTGCTTGTTTACTGCCTCTCTCCCTCCTAGACTGGAGGCTGCTCACGGGACGGGGACCTTGTCTGTCTTGGCCTGGGCTGGGCACGGCCTTGCACGTACCAACTGCTCAGTATGTGTTGGAAGGGGGTGGGAATGAGAACCTTCCCTCCCCTGACCTGGAAAGGGGCTCGGGCTGTGGCCTTTAGCTCAACCTCCAGCCACAAAAAGTGAGGCGAACCTGAAAGAGCTGTGGAAAAGCTCTGAGGCCCCCAAGTCTCCTCTTCAGGCCTTTCCCTGGGGCGGAGGGAAGGTCAGCCTTTAGGGCTTTGGAGGCCAGGGCTAACGGTTGCTATGGAGACGGATGGGGCGCCTTGTATGTCTGCGAATTGAGAGGAGATGGGCGACGCCGGCTGGGACTTTGAGCCTCCAGCTTCCCTGATCCTCAGCTCTAGCCTGTCCCTGGCGTTGGGGGGAAGAGGGGGCGATTCCCTCCTCAACACCTTCAACAGAGATGGATTTCGGGGTTGCGTGCGAGGAAGGCCTGACCCAGAGTAAATCTTCAGTGAGGGGTGGGGAGCTAGCGGCAAGCGGGGGCTGCAAGTCTCACTGGGTCACTCTGAACACCGGAGTCTCCTCTCCAACCTCACCACTCAGGGAAACCTGAAGTGCTGAGATGCCTGCCGGGCCTCCAGGGGGTGTTCTGGGGGCATGGAGGGGGGAAGGGAGACAGGTATGGGCATATAGCAGGGTGCTGTTCCTCTAGGCCTGTGACCCAGTTTGACCCAGCTCTGCCCAGGAGCTTGCTGTGTGACCTTGGACCAGTCAGGCCCCCTCTGTGGGCCTCTGCTGTCCTCATTGGCACCTACTGGTCTATCGCTCTTGCCCTGTGACTTGGGGCAGACTGAAGGAGGGAGGATCCGGCCCAGCCTGCCCAGAGGCTCTTCCAGCCCAGTCAGGTGGCCCAGTCCAGGCAGGGGCCCAAGGAGCAAGGAGGGGCTCCCCTCAAGAGCTTCCTGTACACGTGGCTACTCTTTGTCTCTGGGGACTAATCAGGCCCAAGATCTAGAGAGGACATTCAGGCAGCCCTGTTGCTGCCAACCTGCCTCCCCAGCCCAGTCCTAGAGGGAGAAAGGAGAAACCGGCTCCAGCCCCAGCCCCCTCATATTCTGTCCTGAGGAGGCTGCCCCCTGTCCTCCATGCTTCTCTCCTCCCTAGAATCACAGGACCACCAGCCCTGGAAGTGCTGAGGGAACCTCACATTCCCCCTCCTCCCTCTCTCTACTGCAGCCGAGGGAGGACTGGGAAACAAGTTCACTAAGATGGTGGGCTGGAGGCCTGGCATGGCAGCTCATTTTGTAATCCTAGCACTTTGGGAGGCTGAGGTGGGAGGATAGTTTGAGGCCAGGAGTTGAAGACGAGCCTTGGCAACACAGGGAGACCCCATCTCTACAAAAAAATAGAAAAATTAGCCAAGCATGTTGGCATGTGCCTGTAATCCCAGCTTCCTGGGAGACTGAGGCAGGAGGATCGCTTGAGCCCAGGAGTTTGAGGTTGCTCCACTGCACTCTAGCATGGGCAACAGAGGGAGACCCTGTCTCAAAAAGAAAAAGATGGTGGTGTGGATCCTTTTGCAGTTCATAAGCTCAGTGGCTGGATTTTCACATTCAGGTGTAAGATGTGCCTCCCTCAAACCTTCTTACTATTGATGGTGGGACGGAGTGAGGAAGGGAGAAAAAGACCCACCTTGGATACTCTGAGCCCAGATCCTAATCCCAGTTGCTAACTTGCCTCATGACCAAGGAGCCTCAACAGATGTCACCGCTCTTGCTGGGCTGCGGGAAGTAGAAGATAGGTCACTGCCACAGGAGACCTGCCCTGTGGCCCATTTGGCCAGTGCCTTGCTGTGCCACCTGGGACAAGTTTTTTCCCGTCCTTGGGCTTCTAATTTCCCATCTGTGAACAGGAGTTCATGGCAACCTGGCAAAGTTGCTGGGAGGAGGGTGAGTGAACCTGGCACCCAGAGGTGGCAAAAAATGATGTCGACTATGCCTATGGCCACCTCCTCTGTTCTCCAAGCCCTTTGCCCTTCTTTGAGGACCCTGGACTCCTCTCCCTGGGTCTTCATTCCCTGTCCTGAGGGTTGTGGCTTCCTGGTGAGGTGGGATGCTTAAAAACGCCTAGACTCTTAGGTCAGACTAGACCAGGATTCGCACTTTGGGCGTTCTAAAGCGCATCCTTTCCTCATCTTTAGGTAATATCTAGTGCCGTGGATCAGGTAAAATAACATACTACTATTCTCAGAGTCCCCAAAGGCGCATGCCACGCCCCCTTCCCCGCAGCCAATCCGCGGCCATCTCCCCGGAGCGCAGGTTCCCTCCACTGGCCGCTGCCACTCCTGCCAGCCAGGCTGCTCGTTTCGGGAAGGGATCCCCAGGAATCGCCTCATCCTTTGGGGCGCAGCTGAGGACTGGGACGTGCATCCGAGGGCCGGAAAGCGCTCTGAGATTAATCCCGAATTCAAGAATCAAGTCTGCCCTCAAACCATTTTATAGACGGGGAAATCCGAGGCCCAGGGAAGGGCAACTCCCGCGCAAGGTCCCCTGAACCGAGAGAAGCCAGGGCCAGTGTTTTCTCCGCGTAGGTGGAAGTGCAGGTGCACGCTCTTGGGGGCACAGTCCTTGCGGGAGCTGAGGCTGAAGCCGGAGCACTAACTGTGCTGGCTAGGGGATCGACACTTCGCTGGGAGTTTGGGCTCCTCACTGCCTCAGTTTCCCCAGTACTACCTTTGGTGGGGAACGGGAGACGGGGCACTGGGCAAACGCTCGCCTGCTGAGACGCAGTTCGAATGCCTTTAGGTGCTCCGCGTCTCCCCAAGACTGACTGAGGCTCCTTTTTTCAAAGGACGCACTACCTCCCAGCCCTCTAAAATCCTGTCCTTGCGTTCGAGCCTCTCGGCGTTCTATTGGAAAGACTTGGCCCTCCTGCTCCCTTCTCTACAATGAACTGCTCAGACTGCCGCCGAGCTTTCCCGGAGCGTTAACTGCGCAGGCGCAAGCGCAGTAAACCCGAAAAACGCAGGAACTGGGTCCTGACGGCGTAGGGCGGGTCGGGGCGGAGAGTGTGTTAACCAATGACTTGAAGGAGTACGGGGGGCGGGTTTACCCCGCAGTTGCTAAGCGCTACCCAAGTGGGAGGTGATTTAAGAGATGGGGTGAAGGGTGGTTCAATGGCTCTTCAAGTCACCATCATTTTGGTCCCCGGAAGTTAAGTAACCGAGAGGCGGGCCTAGGACCGGAAGCAGGAAGGAGGGCGCACGAAGCAGGGCGCCGCAGCCAGTGGTACTGTCGGTCAGTGGATCTGTCGGTGCCGACGGCAGGATGGAGAAGCTGCGGCTCCTGGGCCTCCGCTACCAGGAGTACGTGATTCGTCACCCGGCCGCCACGGCCCAGCTGGAGACAGCAGTGCGGGGCCTCAGTTACCTGCTGGCAGGTGCCACCCTGACCTTTGATCCATTCCTTGGGGGCCCTGACCTGTGACCCCAGTGGCCCCTTTCCCTGCGGAGTCAGTGTAGTGATCTCTGTGCTTGAGAAGTCCCGTCCAGGTTCCCGTAGGGAGTAGGGAGGAGACGTCGGGGAACCGAAGATGAAAGGTTAGGCAAATGCTCACCGACGCCTTCTGTACCTTCTCCCCAGGTCGATTCGCGGATTCGCACGAGCTGTCAGAGCTGGGTGAGCTGGGCTCTGGGGTGGGTGGGTACAGGGGTGGCCTGGGCCCGGAAGAGCTTCCCAGAGGGGATGAATACCACAGCTCGAGGTCCTGGACTGCCCGTTAGATCACCCTGTGCTATGACTGAATCAGACAAAAGTCTGTTGTCCCCTGTCCTGGGCCCTTCATGTCCCCAAGTTAAGACACATGTCTGGGGACTTTGACTGAGTGTTCACCACCCGTCAGGCGCAGAGCCAAGTGCCTTTCCTGCCTTTGCCAGTTAATCCTTCCTACAGTCAAATAAGGTGGGTACTGTTATCGTCCTTGCTGTGCAATTAAGGGAACAGAAGTGCAGTGAGGTTAGGGAACAGTTGCTGATAATCCTAGAACTAAGATTCAAATCCCAATCTCCCAGATTCCAGGATTTCCAGACTGTAACTGTCTCGGGAGCATTTGCCCATTGAGTACTGGAGGTGACAGACCTGAAAGGATGGGCTGGGATTGGAAAGGTAGAGATGGCATAGATTCCCAGGGACAGGCTGCAGAGAGGGCAAAGGCCAGGAGGTGGGACCACACATCTGTAGCTGTTTGGAGTGCAGTGGGCAGTTGTAGGCAGCTGGATGGTCAGTGCTATCCTGCGTGACAGTATCTGGTTTGTTACTGAGCTCAACCCATCCTCTTTTGGTCCAACCGCCCATGCAAGATCATACTGGGGAGTGTGGAGTGCCAAGGAAGTGGGCGGGGAGGCAGATTGGTTTCCACATAATCTGTGGGTGTCTGAGCACAGCAGGTGATAGGTGATCCTGCAGCTCTGGGGAGAAGGTGAGAGGGGTGGAGGCTGCAGAGCCAGCCCTTCAAGGCCACCCTCTACCCCTCAGTGTACTCTGCCTCTAACCTGCTCGTGCTGCTCAATGACGGGATCCTACGGAAGGAGCTTCGGAAAAAGTTGCCTGTGGTGAGAATTCTGCCAGGAACTGAGGGCGGGGAGCACAGGGACTCAGAAATGAAATAGCAACAACCAGGCCATGTGTGCAGCACATTTTGTGGTCTCATAGAGTGTGAGGCATGCCTTTGCCCATCTGAGCCTCAAACCATCTCATTAGATGAAGTGTAAAGAGTGTTAGCAACCTTGTCTCAGTTGAAGGCACTGAGCTTCAGAGAGGTAGAGTCAGCAATCCCAGGTCACCCAGCCTGTTAGTGGTGGAGTCGGTGTTTGAACTCAGGCCTGCACGCTTAGGCTTGGAAAGGGGAGAATCCACATCTCTTGTCAGAGGACCCCCCCTCCCCCTGCCCCACAAGGAGGGCCAGGGCCTAGGGGGAGCCCCCTGACCTCTTGGCCTGGGGTTCTTGCAGTCGCTGTCCCAGCAGAAGCTGCTGACATGGCTGAGCGTGCTGGAGTGTGTGGAGGTGTTCATGGAGATGGGGGCCGCCAAGGTGTGGGGAGAAGTGGGCCGCTGGCTTGTCATCGCCCTTATCCAGCTGGCCAAGTACGTTGGGACTGTGGAGGGCAGGACCTGGGTGGGGGTGACACAGGCCAGTATCTGTACAGATAGTGGCCTGGGTCACCCTTGGCCCCTGCCAGCTAGCCATCTCCCCCTAACCCAGCCATACTCTCTGACCCAGGGCTGTACTGAGGATGTTCCTGCTGATCTGGTTCAAGGCTGGCCTCCAGACCTCACCCCCCATCGTTCCACTGGACAGAGAGACCCAGACACAGCCCCCGGGTGAGCTGCTTCCCCACTCTGGAGTAGAATGGGGCGTAGGACTGATTAGTGGCTTTAGACTCCACCGGTATGAACACAGTGTTGTCTGTTTATGGAGCACATCTATCCCTGTCAACTGATTTTATTTTCATCACCCTGTATTCTGCAGAAAAGAAAAAGAAAGATTAATTTAGGGACAAAATCAGAACTTGAACTCAGGACTTCTGATGCCAGGGTCCTCATTCATTTTTTTGGTCTACAGGAAGAGGGAACAGAGCAGGAGGTCGGGGCTGCCAACCTAGTCCCTGGGCCCGCTTCTGTAGCAAGAGCCGCAGCCTCAAGAGGCAGGGCACCCAGCACTTGTCAGCCTCTGGGCCTCATGCTCCGGACCTTGGTGGGGGCGGTTCTTTGCGTCTCATCGTGGTCATGTTGAAAGCAAAGGATTGAGAAGATATGATCTCCCTGGTGCTCCAGTCCCTGGGAAGCCCGGGCTCTTGGCTGGCTCTGGCCACAGATGCTGCTGACCTTTCCCCAGGCAAGGGAGGGTTGCAGAACGCTGATGTCCCACGTTGAGCCACAGCCACTGGCTGCAGTTTCCTTGACTCAGCTGCAGCCTCAGTACAAGCTTATCTGTTCTCCCTTAGCCCTGAGTGTTCACCGCACATGTGTTCTTTGCAGGCTCTACTGGAAACATGTCCCTCTGACAATAGGGCCTTCTGTCTATCCCTGCTAGATGGTGACCACGGCCCTGGCAGCCAGGAGCAGTCATATGTGGGCAAGCGGTCAAACCGAGTGGTGCGCACCCTCCAGAACAGTAAGTGGAGGACGTGGTCGGACTGGGCACGAAGGTGCTGGGGTCTGCCTGGGCCTGAGGGATTGGCTTCCATCAGTGTCCACCTTCCTTCTGCTCTGGCCTGGGCCTGGCTTACTCATCCGCTGCCCTTGCATTCTAGCTCCATCCCTGCACTCAAGGCACTGGGGAGCTCCCCAGCAGCGGGAGGGACAGCAGCAGCAGCAACGCCAAGAGGAGCTGAGCCTCACCCCTACCCCGCTGGGGCTGCAGGAGACCATCGCAGAGTCCTTGTATATTGCGCGGCCGCTGCTGCACTGTATCCTTAGCGTGGGGTGGGGCCAGCACCTTGGGCTGGGGATCGATTTGAGCGTGGGCTGAGCCGGGCCCCTGTGCTGGAGACATCCTTGACGCCTTGGCCGTCAGTGCTCAGCCTGGGCCTGTGGGGTCAACGGTCCTGGAAACCCTGGCTCCTGTCTGGTGTTGTAGACGTGACCAGGTGAGCCTGGGTGTGTCCGCGGGCCCCCCTCTGCACTGGGCTTTCCACACTAGGGCTGGCCTCACCTAGGCAGGGCGGGCAGCAGCCCCTGCTCCTCCCAGTGCTGCCCCTGTGGACACCCAGCCCAGATCAAGCCCCTGGCCCTGACCGTGTCCCCTGTCTCCCAGCCTGAGCCTCCTGAGCGACAGAAAGGGCCTGACCCGGAGGGAGCGGCTGGAGCTGCGGCGCCGGACCATCCTGCTGCTCTACTACCTGCTGCGCTCCCCGTTCTACGACCGCTTCTCCGAGTAAGCACCTGGCCCCTGCCTGTTTCCCGGAAGAGGGCAGAGAAGCAGGCCCTGGGCTCCAGCCGCTGTTGGCGCCTTCCCTTCTCCCCCGTTCCCCCTTTTGGGGTTCACTGAGTACCCACTGTGTTTGTCTGGGTGGCGGTCACCAGATGCCAGCCCAGCCCTTCCTGCAGAGCTCTCGGGGCCATCAACCCACACGTGCATGAGCTTCAACACCTGTTGGCAGGGCTGAGGGGCAGGGCTGAGGACATTGCCAGGAGGCCCACAGGGACGGAGCAGGTGCGGGCTGTCCATAGCTTCTAGCTCATTCCCATAGCTACCTGCCGAACGGTCGGGATTATGCCCACTGCTCAGAGGAGGCACTTGAGGTCCAGGGATGTTGGGCAACTTAAACAAAGACGCCAGCCAGCAGGGCTGAATCCCAAATTCACGTTCTCTCCTGGCTGTCCCTGCTTTGACCCGTGAGGGCCCAGAGCCCCCAGCCTCAGCCACAGAGAGGCCTGCTGGGGCTGCGCGGGGGTGGCCTGGGGCCAAGGCCCCCAGGGCCTGCCGGGGTGACTGCACGAGGTCAGACTGAGATGTGAGGAGGGGGCCCTATGCAGCCGCAAGGCCGGGAGACAGATAAGGCTCCTGCCACCCACTTTGGGACTTAACGAACACTTCCAAAAAACCGGAATGGTAACTGGAGTTGCATTTAACGTCCAGCCTCTGTTTTTTCTGAGAGAGTAGGAAGTAAGCTTATATTTAATACTACTTTGGCGAAAGTGACTTAGCCTGGCAGTTCCTGCCATTTTCAGACAAGTTCGAAAGCTCATAGGGCCTGAAGCCAAACCAATTCCATACGCAAGAGAAAACATTCCAGACTTCCACATGTAGTAAGGAACCCCCGCCCCGCAGTTGCTTGCACTTCACAGAGGGAGCCTTGCAGCCCTAGTGTCCCCCTCATATGACCTGAGGAATTGTGAGGTGACAGGAATTACAGAGACGGCCCCAGGCTGCAGGCCCTCCGCTACCTGCCCCAGTGTCTGAGAGCTGAGAAATCCGTCAGGGAGACGCCTTGTTGGCCCGAAGGGCAGGAGCAGGCCTGGAAGGAATAGTCCTGTCTTCTCTCCCCTCGTGGCCTCGGGAGCCAGGCTGCCTTCCCCGTGTGTGACCTCGGGCAGTTATTTGGCCTCTCTGTGCCTCGTTTCCTCATCTATAAAGTGGCGATGATGAGAGAACCCACCTCATAGGGCTGTTTAGGGGTCATATGACTTAAAACACATGATAGTCCCTGGTATGTAGTAAGCGCTTAATAAGCGTTATGTCTTATTTCTCCTAGTATCATGAACATCACCATCATCTCACCTTGAGTTCCCCTGTGGGAAATGCTCATCTCTTAAAAAGCTAGGCCTTGGCCCTGTCCCCTTGCACTAAGCCAGCTTGCCCTCCTCAGCACTGTGTCCCCTCCCGGGCCCTGACTCGCCTCTCCATTGGCTTGTGACGTTTCCATGTGGCGCGGCTCTTCTGGACTGGGGGCTTCTCGAGGGCAGGGTGGGGTTGTCTTCCTCTTTGAACCCTCCACCATGCCACCTGGCACTGCTGCATGCGTGGCCCTCGGGAAGCATTTATTGCTGGATGTCAGTGGAAGGGAAACGAGGGGAAGGAGGAGTGGGAGGAGGATGGCTGTGAGGTGCTGCGAGTAAGTGGCCCACCCGTGGCTGAGCTTTGGGCATCCCAGGGCTGGCGGGGAGGGCAGAGCCTGGAGCCAACCCCAGAGGTCTTGCCCTCGTGAACTGGGCCCTATCCTAGCTCCAGAAAGTCGCCGCTTGTCTTTTGGGATGCACCGTGTTCAGTTGGGTGGTGGGGGAAGGCTCCCCACCCTCGTCGTTTGCAGGGACCCCCCTCCCTGACTCAGCCTTGTCCCTGTTTATCGCCTCCACCCAGGGCCAGGATCCTCTTCCTGCTGCAGCTGCTGGCTGACCACGTCCCCGGCGTCGGCCTGGTCGCGAGTAAGCAGGGGCGATGATTGTAGATTGTGGTTGGATGCAGGGCCCATCTTCCTGTTCTCTGTCTCCTTGTCATTTGATTCTTGGCACAGTGAGGGGAGGAAGCCCAGAAGTCAGGGGCAGGCCATACATAGAGCCAGGGTTGGCTGGAAGGAGGGCGTCCCATGGTGGGGGTATCGCTAGACCACGTGGGGCCATCAGCCTTTTTCCTGTCGCAGTATCCTGGAGCGATGCGGGACCATCTCATCTAAAGGGGATTGTATGGCAGGGGAGGGGCCACCGGGCTGCTTTGAGATCCCACCTCAGCAGAGCCACTGGGGTTCTTGTCTGTAAATGGGACCCCTGCACTGCCGCCTCCCCAGGGTGGGGCAGGGGAAGCAACAGGGCTCGCAGCCGTGCAGGGGTGAGGAGCTGCGTTGGTGGAGCAGGGCAGAGTGGAGTCCGGCCCCCGCCTCACTTGTTCCTCTCTCTTGTTGCAGGGCCACTCATGGATTACTTGCCCACCTGGCAGAAAATTTATTTCTACAGCTGGGGCTGACAGACATCCCGGGAGTGGGGCGTGGGGCAGGGTGGTGTGCTCTGCTGTGCTGGGCAGGGTTGCCTCGGCCCATCAGTCCCCTGGGCCCCTCTTCCCTAATAAAACTGACTCTGGAGTGTCCCAGCATGCGACCTCTCCGTGCCCACCGCCCAGGGTGCCTGCCAGCTCCCCCCACCCCGACCCCGGGCTCTGCACACAGCCAGGGAGGCACTGCGTTTAGTCGTTTAGTTGTTTATTGGGTGGTCGAGAAGGCTTTCCAGCCGCCTCATTTGCAGGGATCCTCCCCCCAACTCACAAACTCACACCCTCCTAATACCCTCTTGACTTGGACTGCCCCCTCCTGTGGTGGAGCCACCAGCCCCTTGTCGCTGGCCCAAGATGTTGCCACTAGGACTGGGATCCAGGCTCCTCTGGCCACAGGAAGCTGTGACTTAACTCTCGGAGCGTGAGGAACTGCTGGCCCTGCAGTCGCAGGAGCAAACGCTGGTACTCGCTGTCCAGCCCCGCTGAAGACAAGGCTGAAGCAGGCTCCCGGTGTGTCTTCTGGCCAGCGCCCCTATCTGTCCCTCCCCTGCAGGGCCCTGTGGCTCCAGCAGCCCCAGGCCGTGGTACTGCCAGCCCGCCCCATGATGGAGCCTGGTGGAGGGTGAGCCCCGCTGTGGCACAGAGCGGCACCTCTAGCCCTGAGTCCCCAGGTGGGGGTGAAAAAGGCTTTTCTCCCATAGGAAGAGGGTGTCAGGCAGCAGCCAGCGCTGGGGACCGTGCTGGGGAGGGAATGGGACCCAGCGAGGCTCTGGGAGAAAGCCAGGTGCGAGTTCAGGGGACACAGGCTGGGGTCTCTCCCACACTCACCCTCTGGCTAAGGGGGGCCAAGTGTGCCTGGAGCCGTGTGGGCTGCCGTAGGTGGAGCCCGGACCAGGCGGGCCTTGGGCTGGGCTTTCCTGCTAGTCCTCAGCCATGGCGCTGCTCCCCGTGCCTGCGCCAGAGCCAGCCTCCTGCTACAGTTCCCAACCAGACGGGCGGCCCCTTGGGCTCCCAGGGGGCTCCATCTGCACCTGGGTCCTCCATGCCGTGCCCCTCCCAGACACCCTGGGAGGAGCCACCTCACCCTGACACCACTTCCCCAAAAGTGCCTCTGAGGAGTGCCACCCAGGTCCTGACCCATCGGGTCCCTCAGGGTCAGAGCTCTGGCTCCAGTGACCTTTGGCTTCATTTAACAAGCGCTTCCGGGCACTCGCTCCGCAGTGGGCTCTGCGCCATGGACTGTGCAGTCAGAAAGGAGCGATGCGTCGTTTCCTGCCCTCGGCTCTCGCCAACCAAGGTGTGTGTAAACACAGGTGTTGCGCAGGGTTGAGGCAAGTAGTGTGTGCAGGATGCAGTCTGGCTTGGGGGTGGCCCAGCAGCGGCGACCCTGCCTGGAGTGGTGATGGGCAGTGAGGAGACTCCTTGGGCTTCATCAGTGACGCTGTCGCTCACACAGGCTCTGAAACTGTTAGCACCGCGGGTCGGTTGGCGGACAGGCAGCCCGGGAGAGGAGGCTGTGTGCAGTAACAGCCTGTGTGCTGTCACAACAGTGTCACGGTGGTGCGCAGTGACGGGAGGTGCTGTTGGTGCTAGGGCAGAGTGGAGCAGGGGCAGGAGCAGGTGTCAGGAGACTGGAGAGGAAGGTCAGGGCCCAGTCGAACAGGGTGTCGCCTACCCGAGCAGGAAACTCAGACCTGGTCTGTGGGAATCGGGGGGGTGGGGAGCAGGACCTTGAATGGACCGGTGGGCAGAGAAGGGAGGATGGGGCCCTGGACTGGAGGCAGAGGCCTGCCACGGTGGGAGGGGCTGGACTAAGGCGATGGCAGGGGGGCTGGGGAGATCGGGTGTAACCCACACGCCTATGGGACTGTTGAAGATAGGAAGAGGGTGGCGTCCAGGGGACAAGGAGCCGGAGGGATGTGAGGGGCTTATGGAGTTAGAGTGGACAGAATTCCTGGTTCCCTGCTGGGGACACAGCGTGCTGAGGCAGGTTTGTGGGAGATGAGTTGTCCCAGAGACATACTAGGTCGGTGACCGCTGGGAGGTTAGCGTGGGGGCCTGGACGCAGGGGAGTGGACCCGGCTGAAGGAACCACCGGAACTCGGCGGCTTGGGGGATGCTCAGGGCCAGGAGCATGAATGAGGCCACTCGAGGACCCAGGGCTGGAAACAAGGGACGTCCCTCTCTGGCCCTCTCAGCACTTAGAGGAGAGTGGCTAACCCACCCAGCAGGTCTGCTGTCTCTGAATCAACTGGATTACCAAAGCCGCAGACCCCACGGACCTGGAGCAGGGCCAGGGACTTTGTTTCCAAAGCTCGCCGTGGTTCTAAAGTGAGGAGCTGCGCTGCGTTCATAAGTGGCCGGGTCTGGCTGCCGAGTCAGAGACCTAGGAGCCAAAGAGCCTGCCAGTGGTGGCCCCAGCTTTGCCTCAGGCCTCAGAGGGACAGCCTCCAGTGTATCATGTGGCATCTGCTCACTGAGGACCTCCCGGGCACCCAGTGCTGGGGACTGCACAGTGAACAAAAGCGTCCCTGCGCTCCAGAAGCTCATCCTCTAGGAGGTAGGTCCAGACCTTTGCTACCTCTCTTGGAAACCCTCCGTCCGGCCCCAGTGCCGGCAGCAGGGCGTGTGCGGCCCTGGACAGGCTGTTCCGAGCTGCAGGGAGCACAGTGGGAAAGGCCTCAGCGAGATGCGAGGAGACAAGAGGCTCCCTCTCCTGGTGGACCCTGAGCTGGTCGAGCCTAAGTGACCCACCCTGGGTTTTCCAACTGGCAGGACCCTCCCAGGACTACTGAGAGGCCAGCAGTGGGGGTGGGGACGGTTGGGGCTCTGGGCGGTGAGGATTGAGTGGCCTCTGTGGAGGGCCTACTGTGTGCCGGCCCTTGAGCGCACTATGCACAGCACAGATCGGAGACTCAGGCACACGGAGGTGACGTGACTTGTCCGGCTAGCAAGAGGCAAGGTCAGGACTTGAACTGAGATCTGACTCCAAGGTCAGCGCCCTTAACCCTCGGGCAGTGACACTAGAACAAGATCTGGTTTGGCACCTCCTGGCCTACAGCGCCAGTAGAATAAACAAAAGCCAAACCTCAGTGTGGTTTCTGGCCCTGCCCCAGCGCGGGCGCTGACGCCCAGCCTTGGAACCAAGGCCCTTTGTGAGGCGGCAGGAGGTGGCGGGAGCTGGTGGCAGGTTCCGTCCTGCCAGGGGCGGGGCGGGCCGTGTAGGCGATGGTTCTCGCCATGCTGGGGGCTCTGTTCCCCAGGGCTGGGCTCAGCCTCTTCCTCCTCTACCTCATCCTGGCAGCTGCACTCCTCCACCCCCAGCCCCTGAGGTAACTCCCCAGCGGAGGGTCAGGGCACAACAGGGCTCCTCCGCGGAGGAGAGGCTGGCCCTGTTACCCTGGGGCTCAGGGGGACTTGCCGAGTCCCCCGCCCTGGGCTGGTTCCCCATTCACACGGAGGTGGCAGCGGCCTTCGGGGCTAGGGGCTGAGCACCCCCAACGTCGCCCACAGGTCTCAGCGATCTGTTCCTGAGGAATTCTCAGCCCCCCTGGAACTCTCACAGCCACTCTCTGGACTGGTGGACGGTAGTACCTCACCCCTGCCCTCCCCTCGTCCCCCTGCTGTCTAGCCTCTTCTCATCCCAAACAGCATCTGTCTGGGGTGGCCTCAGTCCAGTTCAAAACCAGCTTCTCCCACTCATACCCTCTTTTCTCTCTCTAGACTATGGGGTCCGGCCCAAGCACCCGTGGCTACGAGGGCCCCGACCCCTCCTCTCCCGGGCCCAGCAGCGCAAGCGGGACGGGCCGAACATGGCCGAGTATTACGACACACACCTATGATGCGAACCCCCCATAAAACTGTTCTGTGCAGCAAAGGCTTGGCTTTCCTGGGGCAGAAGCGACACGGGCAGGGAGGGGACCATGTAGATACATCCACTGCAGTCCAGACAGGAAATGGCACTTTAATAGTTGGGGCCAGGGTGACAGGACCAAGATGGGGCTGGCCTGGGCCAGTCAGGAAGACCCCTTTCCCTGCCGGGGCCGGGCCCTGCTGTGGCTTCTTCCCCCGAGGACCTGAGCCTGCCACAGGCCAGCATGCCATGAGGTTGTTGGGAGCCATCCGGAGGCCCCACAAAGGACAGAGCTGAGAGCAGGGACATCACCTCCACCTGCTGCCATTTCCTTACTGGAAACTCCTTGGGAGGTGGCTGGGCCCAGCCTGAGCTCAGGGCTCTTCAGTGGGGGTCGGGGGCCAGGGGAGGCTGGGCACTTGCAGGTGGCGTGGGCCTCCTCGCGGCAAGGTGGCCAAGAGCCAGACAGCCAGACCCCTGGCCGGGGAAGGAAGGCCCGGGATGGGGCAGAGCTCTCTGCTCCCAGAGTGGACATCCTTGGCTGAGGCCTGGTGCCCTGCCAGCCCCGTCCCTCCCAACCCCTGCCTAGGCACCCCGCTCCGTCCTCTACAGATAATCTAGCCCCATATATTACAATAAACTGCATCTGCCTCTCCCCACAACCCACCCTCCCCACACTGGGCCAACAGCCCCCACTTCCCCGTCCTCTGGGTCCTCTGGTGGTGGTGGGTGCCACATCCTGTCCGTGGCCAGCTGTCTTGGCACTGGCCCAAGGGCCTGGGGATGCAGAGGGCGGGGCTGCGCCGCTACTCCAGGTAGATGTCTTCTGTGGGGCAGGTGTACTCCACAAACTGCTTGTAGAACTGCTGAAACGCTCTCCTAGAAGGCAGGGGACACACAGATGACCTGGGCAGCCACTGGCAAGGGAGGAACAGGATCTCAACCCAGGGTTTTCAAACTGGGGCCATGGGTCGGGCCCTGGTTCCCCGCTGGAACCCCTCGGCTCTGTTCCCTACAGAAGTGCGTTTCCCGGGGAAGATGTCAGTAGAAGAAAGAGCCCAGCAGCAACCAAGCTCAGAAGCCAGAAGCTCAGGGCCACCCGGCCTCCCTCCAGACCTCTGCACTGGGGTTTGGGGACAGGTTTCCAGAGCTGTGGGCAGGACTGAGGGATGCCACTGAGCATGAGGGAGAAGCACCAGGGCCCGGTTGGGCCTGGTTCCAGGCTGGGCGCTTGGCAGGACATAGGCATATACGTACCCCACGGATTCTGCCAGGGCTTTGGTGGAGTCCTCAGACACAAAGACATGGCAGGCAAACCGGTGGTCGGCGGGGTGCTTGGTGATAAACCCAAAGTACCTGTGGGAGGACAGGTCTGTGGTGGGACGGAGGTTTGGACCCACCCTCCCCGCAGCGGCTCCGGACCACCACTTTCCTCCAGCTTTGTCCCATCCCACTTACTTGTTGTTCTTTGGATGGTATCCACAGAAAGAGATGTTTTTTAACTGGAAAAAGTGGCTACATTTATTCTCCTACAGAGAAGAGAAGCAAGAGGGTGGTCACCCAGCCCACGGGGGTGTGGGGCGCAGAAGCTGAACACGTCTTCATGGCACATGTCGGGGGAGCGCTGGGGGTCGGGGGAAGTCACCTTGGCCTCCTGGGAGTCGTCAGCCTTGACACCTATCTTCACGCCCCGCACGCTGATCTCCAGGACGCAGCTGGAGGGTGGGTTAAAGTGCACGGTGAGCCGGCGGGTGGTGGCAATCTGTGAGGGATGGGGACACGTCAGGGGCTGTCTGATCATTCTTCTGCTGACCTATCCTGTCCCAGGGCCTGGTCCCTCCCTGAGGCCTCTACTGCCTCAAGACACCTGTGTCCCTCTCCCCAGGAGAGAAGGTGGATGTCCTGGGCTGGGGGCAGGCACGCATCCGAGGAGGCGCAGGGAGCAGGATCAGGTACCTTTTGCATAGCGGCACAGAGGACGTCATTGCCCTTGTGATAGGGAACCTGGACTGAGCCCAGGAACTTCACCCGGAATTGGTCCACCCAGTCGCTGTTTTTGGCCAGGGCTGGAAAGCAAGTGTGATGTGAGGAGAGGCAAGCCCGCGGGAGTGGGCCCGGCGGCCACGTGAAGGCGGGTGATGAGGCACGTAGAATGACAGAGCCAGCAGAGGGTGCCACAGTCCCCAGATATCCCAACTGGACTGGGCCTCACTTGTCTGAACTGTGAAAAGGCCCTGAATATCACCTCTGCCTGGCCCCCTCCCTGGCTGGCCAAGATCTGCAGCACTTGTTCACCTGGCGGCGAGCCAAGGCAGGCAGACGTGGGGCTGGAACGCTACCTGCCATGTGCTCAGGCTCCTTGGTGACCTCGATGGCGTAGTAGGCAGGAAACACGCCCCGGGCACCGGTGCGCATGTTGTAGGCCTCGTACCAGTAGTCTTCAGCCTGTAGCTCCACCAGCAGAGGGTCATCCACTTCCAGCTCAAGTTCATCTTCATGTCGAGGCACAAACCTGTCCCCAACAAGGGCACGTGAGAAATTCCTCCCCAGGGCTTCTCCAGCCAGGCCCGCTCTGGAGTCCAACAGCCACAGCAGCATCGTTAGTTCAATAAACATTTGCAAAAGCATCCTGTGTGTCTGTCACGATGCTACTAGCTCCTGGGGGAGACCGAGGTCAATCAGACATGCATTTGCCATGGAGGAAGAGGCGAGCCGAGTGCCTGCTCAGACTGAGAGGGCACGGCCAGTGAGCACTCTGTCCAGAGGAGGGGAGGCTGGGGTGTGGGCCGCCATCCTGGTCACCCTCCTGGGCACCCTGCCCCCGGCCAGACTGGGTGCACGGTCTGGGCTCCCTCACCACACCGTAGTGCTGTAACCATCGGTCTTGTCAACACACTCTGAGTCCCTAGAGGGCAGACACTGTTCGCCGGTGGCTGAGTGGACCAGTGCTGCTGATGGCAGGGGTTAGGTTTAGGCCATGCGGAGGTGGCACAGGCAGGGAGGGGTGTGGCCCGGCCACCCCATGGCCTCTCACCTGAATATGGCGCGGTGGGTCTGCTCCTGCTCCTCCCCGTTGATGACACAGGAGAACAGCCCGAAGGACTCTGCACCTGTAGGCGAGGGGACAGGGTTGGAGGAGGGTGGTCCCAGCTCTGGTCGAGTTGTAGGTGGCAGGGAGAGAGTGCCTGGTAGTAACTCTCAGTCAAATCAGAGGGGGCCCGAGCCCACCTGCCAGGAACACCCCTCATTCTGGCTCTCCCGATCCAGGGACCTCCCAAGCGCTTCCCCCCCGCTGACTCACTGGAGGAGCGGGAACGGCCACTCATGAAGACGTTCAGGAACTTCTTGGAGAAGTGGACATCGGGCTCATCCGGTGTGGAGTCCTCGGAGAGGCAGGCAGGGGGCCGGGGCCGGGGGGCCTCCTCATATTCCTCTCCAATGGCCGACTCGTAGGGCGAGGAGGCAGAGGCACAGTTGTCGTAGACAGTGGCCGAGTCACTCTCGTCGCTGTAGTCTCCGAAGCACGGCCGCAGGCTCACCAGCTCCAGCTGCGCATGCTCATCCACCACCAGTGTATACTTGACCGAGTCGTAGGACAGAGCGCTGGTGTCCGAGCTCAGCGAGGCCCGTGGAGGTGGTGGTGGCTCCCCCAGGCTCCCCCGCCACCCTCCCCCTGGTGGCTCCGCCCGCTCTGGGGACGACAGGCAGTCGAAGCCCTCGTCCTCTTCACTGATGGAGGGGTGTGGCCGCCCGGCAGTGGAGGGGTAGGCTGCAGGGTCTGGATCGGAGCTGACCGACATCCGGCTCTCAGTGGGTGGCAAGAAGGCAGAGGTGGGCTCTGCAGGGTCTGGTGGCCTCTGCACCGGGGTCAGGTAGATCTCCTCTGTGGCCTCTAACCGCACGTCTGCCTGGTAGTGGATTCGGTCTCGATGTGAGTGGCCCCGGCCACCAGGTGGGCCAGCAGGGGGGCCACTTGGAGGTGCCATCTGGGTGGCCGCACTGCGGCGGCAAGGGCTGTCGGTGGAGGTGCCTCGATCCTTGGTGGGGACAGGGCTGCTCTGGGGTGGCAGCTCATCGCTCAGGCAGATGTGTTCATGTGGTGGTGTCTGTTCCCCTGGAGAGCGGGCGGGTCAGTGCTGAGGGCAGGTGCCCTCACCCAAGACTCCCAGGCCACCCGCTCCCTCGGCTCTGAGTGTGTAGACACAGAAACCAAGACAAAGCCTCCCTGGGCAATAGGCCCGTGGCAGGCTCTGGGGCCGGTCAACTTGCTCATGCCGCAGCTGACCTCAGCCCCCACATGTGCTTGCGCAGGGATGCGGGATGGGCAGTTCACCTCTACTCAGGTAAACGCAGCCGGAGACTGTTGGGTTTGCTCTCTGCAGTGAGGACTGGGTTGGGGCAGGCTGAGGTCCAGGTGAGGGAGAGGGTCCCGACTTACCTGTCTTCAGGGGTGAGGATGATCGAGACACCCGATCCTGCCAACTGTGCTTCTTGCCCAGAGAATTGTTATTCAGCGTGTCCTGTGCAGGGAACAAAGGGCCCTTGTGACAGGAGCGATCAACAGTGCCCGGCACAGGGAGGCCCTGGCCCTGCCCCCCACCAGGCCAGCCCTGAGGCTGAGTACTCCACTGTCACGGGCCTGAGTACCCACCCCGCCTCCACTGTCACGGGCCTCACTCCCATCACCCCTCTGGAGCAGACAGGTGGGGTGGCAAGTCACAGCCCTCCCAGCAGGCCTGCTGGCTCTAGATGGCCCTCTGTCCTGGCTCAGGGAAGTTTGCCATCCCTCAGGGAGCTGTTCCAACAAAGGTGGTGATGGCCAGCGTGTGTGGTGGGGAGAGGGGCAGGAGGTGGGGGGAGAAGCAGGAGCTCTCTGGGGACAATGAGACCCCCAGTCCCAGACACTGAGGGTTTGCA